TCCCCAACTACATATAGTTAAGTTTAAAAATTAGCATATTTTAAATTTATTTTCCTAACAGCACACAGCTGTTATCTCGGAGGTTCTGTTGATGTTGCCACAGAATCCAGAGGACCACATAAACATAGCAGAGCACAATACCGGATGACAGTGTGACAGGAGCAGCAGAGTCCTGCCCAGAAGTCTTCCTTCTCCTTTTCCTCCTCCTCCTCCTCCTCCTCCTCCTCCCCCTCCTCCTCCTCGGTCCTTCACAGACACAGTTCCGCTCCACTGAGACGCCGCTGGTCGCTGCTCCTGTCAGTAATGCTGGCTCTGCAGAATCAGAGCCACACGGTTGTTTTGATCACGAGTTGCAGCCTCCTACCAGCCGCGGACAGCGGAACAACAACTGATTCCTGCAAAGACATCAGGTAAGAAGTCTTCCCGTTTTTCCTCAGTGCTACCAGATGTGGCCGCTTTTCTCTCCCTACATCGTGGGGCGGAACAATCCTCTCAAAGCCGATCCGTCTGCAGGTTTCCAGTACTTTGAGGAGTGCGGAGGAGAAACTGTTTGTGCGTTTTTTTGTTTTTTTTTGTTTGTTTGTTTTTTTGCTCATTTAAACCCGCTTTAGAAATAACTTTGATTTCTGACAGAGTTTTAGATTCTTTTAACTGAGAAGTAAAACTACTTGGGAATTTTGTGTTGTTTTTTTTCCAACAGCAGAGACATGTTTATGAACTTTACTGAAAGCTCTTCAGTGTACAGGTCATGTGGCTGCTGCCCAGGGCGCCAATAAAAAGCTTTGGGTTTGGGGCGGGGGAGACTGTGATGACAAGTGGGAAATATAAACACCAGAAATAAGTAACATATTCTGTATATGACTGTACATGACTTAGTTGTGGATTTTAATTAGTGTCATGAATTAGTTTTCAGTTGCATATTTGTAAGTGCAGTTGATAGGGGTAGGGCACACCGGGCTTTGAATAGGCCCACCCCACTTCCTGCTGCTTTATGTTGGACTGAAGAAGGTTCTGGCCTCATACTTGCTACACCTGAGAGAATGTTTGTCAGTGAATTCAGGCCCGAAAGAACAAAATAGCTGTAATAGGTAAATGGAAAGAGAGGCTGGCCCAGGATCAGTCATTCGATTAAAATCAATAAGTTATTCATCACAAAGGGAAATTGCATGTTGTTGCAACTCATATAATCAAAATACCTCCAAATGGTGAAGTTTATTCATCTCATGTTGCAGTCTGCAGGAAGTTGTTGTGGACGGTGATGCTGTTTCTGGTTCTGCTCTGCGTCCATGAAATGTCCTTTTGAAGTCTATTTGAGCTTTTGAGATGTGAACTAGCTGCTAACAATTACAAAAGCGATACACTGTAAAAGTAAAAAAGTGAGAGCCAAACTCCTTCCGGGTGGAGAGCATCCAGAACGGGAGGGAACAGCAACACTTCAACCAAAGAATATTCTGAAGGAAAGTCTCCTAAAAGAACAAATCAGAGCTAATGTATCAGAGCTGCTCCAATTCACTGCCATCATCAGTTTTCCAGAATACATTCTAGAACGTGTAGCACGCCAATGGAAATGAAAACGCTGTTTTCTGGAGCTGTACAGGCTCCTTCTGTTTCCTTTCAACATCAGAGTGAAATAGTGAAGTTGATTCATCTTATGTTGCAATCTGAAGGAAAGGAGAACTGAACTCTGATTGTCTAATGTGTTCTGGTCCTTTTCATAAGGTGAAAAGGACCAGAACAGATCACCAGTTTTAAACTCTTTTGCTTTTAGCCTACAGAGAAACTCTCTGTAAGCTGCACATTTCAATATCATCTGAAGAGTTTCTGAAATATTAAAATAAAAATAATTAATTAGATTTTCTTTCTTTTGTTGTCCCCTACAGCAGAGCTGAGGTGGGTTGTCATCTTGTGTGTGGCCTGCTGCCATGTCTCGGTACCTGAGGCATTTCACGGCCGTGGGCGACGTACAGCCGGGCCAGTGGGTGGAAGAGGAGCTGCATGTAGACAGCGAGGAGCTGAGCCCAGCAACCGGCCAGTACCCAGCAGAACGCACCTTCAGGGCTTCACTGAAGAGGCTCTACACCTCAGATCGCTTCCAGGTAGACCCCACCTGCTGCACAACGCTTCTAACACACACTTAGTTTACATACTTTAGGATATTAGATTAGATTTCCTTTCCTCTTTTTTTTTCCTTTGGTTTGTTGTTTTGTTTGTATTTCCTTTTAACTCATGTAAAGCACTTTGAATTGCCTTGTTGCTGAAAATGTGCTATATAAATAAAATTATCTTACCTTGCCTTACCTTACCTCTACTGGACAACATGAAGATTGAGATGCATATATGCATCTCAAAGTTGAGATTATATATATACACACTCTTCATCATATAAAACATGCCAATGAACTGTACAAACCTGGTAGTTCGATGGAAGAACATTTCTCTCTGCTGTCTTTGCTTGTAGATCGCTGTGGTGTGTTTGGTTATCCTGGACGCCTTCTTTGTCATGGCGGAGCTGCTAATAGACCTGTCTGTCATTAAGCTGGAACACGGTCATCTTGCTCCTGAGGTGACACATGGTTTCACATCCAGACACTTCCCCAGGCTTCTTTTCGGAAACTGTATATCCCCGTGACTGCTGTGTTTGTCTGGCAGGTGTTCCACTACCTCAGCCTGGCCCTTCTTACCTTCTTCATGGTGGAGCTAGCTGGAAAGCTGTTTGTGTTTCGCCTTGAGTTCTTCTATCACAAGTTTGAGGTGTTTGATGCTTTAGTGGTGGTTGTATCGTTTGTGCTGGATATCGTCTTCATCTTCCATGAGGATGCCTTTGATGGAGTGGGTCTCCTCATCCTGCTGCGACTTTGGAGGGTAGCCAGAATTGTCAACGGTCAGTGACACTCCAATATCTATTTACCTAATACACAGTATATAGATGGACAGTGAGTGTTCTAAAAATAGAGCTGACCATGTTTGAATGGGCTGCAGGGATCTTGGTGTCGGTGAAAACTCGTGCAGACCAGAAGATCCACAAGCTGAAGGAGAGCTACGATCATCTCGTTGAAAGAGCAACAGAGCTACAGAAGCGCAATGATGAGCTGGTGAGCTTCTGAACCTTAGTCTGATCAGTGTGGAGATCTTAAATGCCTCTTCTCTATGGATGTGGCTTTAACTGCTTCTTCAACCAGTCAGCCGCGGCCAGATTCGTGTCCACTTTCAGAGATTACGTGGCTCCAATCTGTTTTTTGTAACCATCTCAGGCCGGACTTAGCCAATTTGATTGGCAGTAGACTGCATTTGTTGTATTCCATGGATGAAACCATTGTAGTTGGTGAGATGTTGAGCTGTAAATTGATCATTTCATTGTGAAACCTTGAAGTCAGACTTTTTAATTAATTGTGGTGGAAGAGTGCTTACAATTGGACTGGGCAACCCACGACGACCAAAAAATAAAGAGGCGCTTTGGACAAACTGGCAGCCCAAGGGTACACGTGCAAAATAACATCATTGTGCAGCCTGCCTGCGTTCCGGTCCATGTTCACACCTACATAGTGAAGAACACACTGACAATGGAGACACACACAATCTGGGTTGGAACCAAAACAGACACCATATTCATAGTGTTAATTGTTCAGCTCCTTTATCTCATGATGTCTGGTTTAGGAAGCAAAACTGGGTAAGTGAATACCCACTTACCCATAAGCCAAGCGGCATTTAGATAATTAGTTAGTGGTGATCCTATATTGTAACAAATGATGACAGTATGTCATGTTAGTTCATTCTATTAAGAAGTATGAAGCCAGGCTTTCTAAACTCATTTGATCTGTTCAAGTCAGCTTTTTTACACAGTGCTAATTACACCAAATATCTTAAAACATGTTGTAAAACAGATCAAATTTACCTCCGGAAACATACAAGCTAATCTCCAGATTGTTAAATACATTCAAATATGATCCTAGTTGGTTATATGGTGCAATCACATTCAGTTTACAGTGGGGGAAACACTTCCGCTAATCTGCTAATAGTGGAGGTAATTTTTCATTTAACACTTTTGCTAACTTTAAAGTTGTTCTTTCTTATATCGACATAGGTACTTTATTGTCATTCAACAATAAAGTGAATGACAATAAAACTGTACATTTTATTCTGAAGTGGGTGAAGACTGTCTACACAGCAGTTCTGTATGACAGCAGAGAAAATAAAAGCTTTTTCTGTGACTTCTTTGAACTTTCTATTGCAAAGAAGAAACTCGGGAACAAAATGACACTGACTTGTAGTGAAAAATATATAAGCTCAAAGTCGATCTTTAAGATTATTATAGAACATGTAATTTTTAATGTCAAGATTAAATTGGTTGCTAAAGGGTTGCAGGTTTTCTGGGGCAGATATAATTAGAATTGAAGTTAGCAACTACCTAAAGAGTTTTTTTTGTGCTAACCCAGTTAGTTAAAAAGTGTAAATTTGTCTAGGAGAGAGGCCGGGCTGAATACAGAGAGACGGCAGTAGCTTCCTCAGGAAGTGAGGAAGCTCTAACAACATACCATTTGTTTTCTATGACAGGCACAAGATAACCAAAAGCTGCAGGCTCTGCTGAAGAAACATGGCATCGGATTCTAACACTATGAAGTCCGTCGTAACATTCTTCACAGACCTGATCGTTTACCAGTCTCACTTAATAGTACGCCTCCTACAGGACATTTCTGTTAAATGTCTATTTATTAATTAAAAGTCAAAGATGTTGAGTTTCATGGGCTTGTAAATATGTTCAGACTACTTCAGACTGATAACTTGTGCAGAAATCTATATTCCATCAAGTATTATGTTTTGTGAAAAGCAGCTTTAAATAAGTTGATTTTTGTATTTGATTGTAAAAATAAAATACTTTATTTCAAAATTGTCACACAGAAACTTTTATAAACAGCATTTACACAATAACTGCCAGTTTTTGTAGAGAGAAGTGCCACATTCATACTGGATGGTTCAGACAAAAGGAAAGAAAAAGTCAAAGGGTAGTTTGGCATTAATGCTGGGTGCGGCTCGGTAACCAGGAACAGCTGCTGCAGATACAGGGATGAAGGCCACTGAGCTTCTGACTGGTACAATGCTGCTGCCACCAGACAGTGGAGCCTGTGGGAGAGGACAAAACACACTCAGGACAAATTATTTCCTCCTGGTATAATTAACCTATAGACAAAGTGGAAGCATCCACTTAGTATCACTCAGTCTCTTTGAATGCTGACTTTCCTTTTTGGCTATTTGTAATATGTTATGGTGAAGATCTTCAGCGGTCTTCAGACCTGTGCCTCACTGCATTATGGCATCCTTTGGAAGTATTGGTGAGTCTTACCAAACTGCTCTGGTTGGTTTCAATCATTTCTCTTATGCTCACAATCTGAGCCTGGGGGTTTACCAGGGATCCGTACTTGGTCCATTCTATTTCTAAATGAAGTGCCAGTGGGATTTGGCAACTTTGCACTTCCTGCAAATGAAAGAAACAAAATGTGTCACCATCAAGTATCAAACAGCTTCATGGCTCGAAATAAAATACAAAAATCAGTCAGTCAGACACTTTCTCTTTCTAAAGTCTGAGGAGCAGCAAAGGAGGCAACGAGCCATCTGATTCACCTGCTGACCTGTGGGAGCGCGTTCCACTGAGCCTGTGAAAGGCTTCCTGAACATACACTTTAATGGACCCTGATAGACAGGGTCCATTAAAATATGTGATGTTTCACATGCTTTACTGTTCACATGTGATGACTTCACAATGTCATGTGTAATTAACAATGCAGAAAATACACCTTTTGTTAAGGCACAAAAAGGCAAAGGCATAGACATGTATTTTACGTGTTGTGGACATGCTGTTTACACATAGCTTACACGTTGATTACACGTTAATTATGTGTTACATTTTGCAGTGTAAACATCACATACTTTGTGCATTTCTTGCTCGTATACATATAACATTATTGTGAATAATGTATGGAATTTGTATATAGTCAAATTTCCTGTCAACTTTGAAAATTTTTAAAAATAAAAGCACGGTGGGCCGCTGGTGCTCAGCTCCTCTACCACTGAGCTGAGCTAGTTAGCTAACCCTGGAAAAGACTTCTAAGTTTGTGTTGCACCTTGTGATCTTTACACAGGTTATTGGAACATCTGTACCATAATATGCGCGTTTCAAACTGTTCTCACCGTGGGATTCATGTTGCTCTTGATTGGCACCCAGTCCAGAACATTTTCTAACAGGGTGTTTCCAAAGGAAGCCACATATTGTGGGGGATTTGGTCCTCTCAGAACATTCAAGAGCGACTGGGAGACGAGGGAGCAGTTGGTTATATCCTCCAGGCTGGAGTAACAAGAGGACAGTAGGGTAAGACGTGACAAGAGAACACCTTGGTGGGAATAGATGAGTTTGCTAAGCAGGATGCTTTGCCTTAGTGTGCAGCCTGACATGTAGTCCTGACCAAACAGGACAGGAGAGCGCTGGTGAGGACCCTTCAAACAGTCCTGGTCTTCAGTACTCTGCAGCAGAGACAGAGTATCTCTGAGGTTGATACTTCTACTGATGCCAGTGGAGGGGATAGATAAGGATCAGTGTTGTGTTCAAGACCACCTAACCCGAGACCAAGACAAGACCAAGACCAGAGCGTATCAAGACCG